TGTTTCTGGATATTCAGGCAAAATTAAACAATGTATTAAATATCCGCATGGGATTGTCTTATAGTGCCATAACTACCAGTAAATTGGGAACAGAAGAGTTATTCTGCAAAGAAGAACATGAATCATCATCATCTTCATCTAGTCATTATATTCCTGTGGCACCTCAACATTAACTGCCTCATCTGATCACACAAGAAGAGTTAAATGATCTGATTCGTGACTTGTCTCTATCAAAACATCATGGGGAACTTCTTGGCTCTCGTTTACAGTAATGAAATTTATTAACTCCAGGAACAAGAGTTTCAATTTACCAAAGTCACCACCAAAGTCTTGTTTCTCATTACAGCATGCAAGATACTTTGATTCTGTACAAATATTGATGTTCTAATGTAAGAATTAAGTACTGAACATCATCCTCACAAATGGATACTTTTTGTCAACTCATCTAAATTTAGTCTGAAAGCTATACTTTTGCACCATGGGAACTCTAAGCCATCGATTCCTGTTGCTCATGCTACGAACGTGAAAGAAACTTATCAAAGCTGCAGATTATTCTTGAGGCCATCAAACATGATCTCCACAGGTGGAACAAAACGTTTCTGCCCCACTTTATATTAAACTAAGATTCATGAAGAATTTTGTAAAAGAAATGAACAAAAGGGATAATAGTTTCATATATATCTGTCTGATAAGTTTCCAAAAATTAGGGAAGCAAAAATGAAAAAGAGATATTTTTGTTGGGCCACAGATTCAGGAAGTGCTGTTTGATAGTAGTCAAATGGTGAAATGAGCGTCGAACATGGTGGATGCTTCCACCAATATATTTCTACAATGGAACAGTGATATCAAGGATGATGAAATCCTGTTATGATGGGATATTACTGTTGGTTCTTAGAGCATGAAACTGAGAACATACACAAAAGGCGCAACAAGTCCAGCAGACATTTTGTAACAAAAATAATACCATAATGAAAGTTTTGAACATAGTCTGAATGTATTTTCAGTGTATAACCTTATTGTACTCATTGCTTTTTAAACTGGTATTGCTATCATGTAGTTTTTGAACATTCTTAAATGGAATTTTTAATGAATAAATAAAGTAATTAGAGAAAAAGTTACTTTCACGATATAAAAGAATACTTTGAATAAATCTATTGTAATTCGAAAACTAGAGGTGATCAGTATATTTCAACTTTTAGAAGCAGTACCGTTAAATTACTCAGAAACAATTGTATTTTTTCTAGTAGCAGATAAAAATTTGTTGTTGCCCAGTGTAATCTTTGTAATTTTATTTGTTTAGCGTTGTAAGTCCGCAGACATACCGCTGTGTTACTACATTTGAAAATATATAAATGTCCCCCCCCCCCCCCCCCCCCCTCATTATGTACATTTATATACATGTATTATATACAGCTAAATGTATTAGCAGAACTGTTGCAGTCTTCTAAACAGTAACCAAAAAAATTCATTATTGCAAATCATACAAATTTAAATAAACACTTATACCGTTAGCACATTTTTAAATTCCTTTATTTGCGATATAACTTTAAAATGTGACAAATGTACTATTTGGCAAAAAAATTAACCTGGGGTTCACAAATTTCAGAGCTTAAGCTATGACGTCACACTTGCCTGAAACATATTTAGACTTCTATAAAAGTGCCCCCCTCCCGGTAGCTCGGCGTGAGCTTACAGGTTTATAATGTTAAAAATCGAGGTTTTATACCGATAGTGGGCACAGCACAGATAGCCTGTTTTGTAGTTTTGCACTTAAAAACAAAAAAAAACCTATTAAAAACAAATGTAATATTGAAGATTATAAGGATTCTCTTTCAAAAATATAAATTCAAGGATAAGGCCATACAGCATAAAAAAGGAAAGCGGAATTTTGAATGTGAGCAGCAGTTTAGGAATATGTGAGCTAAAAAACATGGTCACAGACTTCTAGAGTTCATAGTATAGCTATTCGCAATTTTTAACTACTGATTCAAGAAAGCACAGTTAGTCAACAGCACCTGTCACCACAAATGCTTTGAATGGAATAACAGGATTGACGGTTACTTTTATAACATGCACTGGGCTGAAAGTGCAGAATGTGTTCAGCAGCATCATGTTGTTGTATACGCCGATAAACCGCAAAAAAAAAGTTACCGCAAAATTAATGTAGGGGCTGCTAAACTGGAGGTAACATAGTATAAGGCATTAATCTGTGAACTCTGAGTTCATACTGAAGAAAGAATCAAAATACAGAAATGCAAGACTACAATCTTTAATAATAAAACAAGGGTAAGTATGTTTGTAATGAGTGTATTTGACAGGCGAGAGAGAGAGAGATAGATGAAGTAAAACCTTAGTGAGTTATCTCTCTCACAAGACCACTACAAGCCAATTAGTGAACTAAGTCCCAAACATAGTTATAGTGAAGAAAAGTTAGAAGGTTACTTCTGTGACTTTCTACATCCAAACTGAATTGAAAGAAAATACAGAAATTTTGAAAGATTCACAAAGTAACTAAGGGAATAGCAAACACATGGTGTGATACAGTAATGTGTGGAGGACATTAATAGGGCAGAGACTTGAAAAATGGCACTTTTCAAGTATCATATGGGAAGTGATTTTTTTGTGGGGGGAGGAGTTATAAGGGAAACTATGGGGAAAGTGGATTGCCTCTGGCTCACATAAGATAGAAAGCTTTGTGAAGTAAAAAAAGAGCCTCTTTTATTACAATTTATTTGGTCTTATAAACACTTCTAAAATCTAAAACTAAAAAGTGAATTCTTGCATATTAACCCTTAACAGTATATAACAATTATTTTTTTACTGCAAACGCTTACAAGTCCCTGTGTGCCATTCATTTTACAGTTGAAATTTTGTTTTTTTCTTTTTCTAAATTGCGACAAGTAAGGTGTGAAATCAGGTGCATCTTTTTAGTCATTGTAAACAATTTCTTATGAGTGAGAAAAAGGGCACTTCTGGGGTATAAGTGAAGGAAACAGGGGTTTGAACATCCAGTCAACCCGTGTCACATCATTGGTACCATCCTGTACCACAATGCCTCAAAATATGGATCCTCCAATTTATGAAAAAAGGTGTGTGGACTGGCAGATACTGTAATATACACTGAATGAAAAATTAATACATAGAATTGAATGTTTTCAATTGAAATGTAGTTATAAAAGGAAAATAAACAAATACTTATGTTGTGTACCAAATGTTAAATTTAAGATTAGTTTTTAATTGAAAGGTGTAAAATATTTCAAAAACTGTTAATGCACCCAACAACTCATTTTATATCCACCTTCCATTTTTACGAATCATTTATAGCTTCTAATGTTTATAAATGTCTGCTGTTAGAAACACCTATTACAATCATGCCCCTAAGATAGGGTCCAATACCCAAAATCTATCTTACATAAATTATAATATATTACATGCAATTATGTTTAGGTATTTTGAGCAGTATCTACTTTGGGGGGGGGGGGGTCCAAACCTTGAATCTTTTCAGCAGCCTTGCCTTCAGGTTTACTTAAACTTTACCGACAAATTCTCAAAAGTAGCTGTTTGCTGATTGATTGATCAAGGCTTCATTAGAAGCATCTCCTTCACCTGTAGCATTGTCTTGTTTATGACTTTACCAATTACTTTGAACATACTGATCTTTTAGTTGCAATTTAGGTAACTGAACTTTACTTAAACTTTCACATTCAGGTGTGGAAAATCTCATGAATTGTGCCAAACTAGTTATGCTATTTCAGTTGTCATAATTCAACATTTTGTCAATAACAAAACTCATCAGATATTTGTCTGTTCAGCTGAACAAAACATTATGATCACAATGGACTAAAAAACTAGGTCATAAATCCCAGTGGTTCAGGCACAGTAGTCTATACCTTGAACTGTGGACCAAAGAAAAGCAGAGTCAGCAGAACTTGCCATCTGAAAGTGCTACTCTTATGGAAATAGTGGGACTGACTGTCATTCTTATAATGAACTTACAGTTGAAAGGGCAAAAAGTTTGAAAGCCTTTGGCTAATTTATTTTACTACAGCTGATAGTATTTTGTCTCAAGCAATTATTAGATGATATTACTAAGAAAATGTTTAGTGTGAAAATAACATAAAAATAGAAATTTATTTTACTGCAAAAATCACATTGTCATAGAAAAAATATAAATCTTTTGTTTAACAAAAAAACTTGTTTGCAAAAAAAAAGTTTTTGAAACAGCATATAAGCATTCTTTTTGACTTGACCATACTTTCACAACCGTCATTGAAGTCTGTTTAGTTCCACATCCAATCATAGAATAACCAATCAATCTGGGGAGTTGATACTATGAACCTCTACTTCGGTGCTAAATGAGTTTTCTATTATTGTACTTCAAACTGCTTATTTCATAACATTCAATAGTGACTGAGTGTGGTCTATTGGTTAGCATATCACATTGAGGGTCTTGAGATTGAAAAGAAGGCAATTTATCTGTAGTTTTACTTAACTATGATTATTCCTTGAAAAACGTTTTTGCAAAATGTGATGTTAGAATATAAAAATGCAGCAAAAATAAACTTTGAACACTTATAAGTATCCAAAATTTAAAAAATAAGTTTTGTATAGCTGCAAAGCATGTTATAAAGCTCATGGGGCTAAGACAAATTATAAATTTTATTAGAATCATGAACTGGAACCTTACTGAACATGAAATTAAAATTAATACAGAAGGTAATAAAAAACATCTGAACTCCTAATTTTGTTTTTTACAGTAGTGGATGGAAATTCATTAAGGATTTTGATTTTAATCTTTTTTTAATTCACTGTACTTAAAAAGTTATATTTGCTGACTTTTAGACAACTTGAGAATTTACTTCGCGTATAGTAACTCAGTTATCTTAAGTTTATAGTCTTGTTGAATTCCAATTTATTTACTTTCTTAAACTATTTCTTACATCAACAAAAACAGTGGAATACCTAAGTGAGTTATGAGGTTAGAAATAAATAAGATAAGATTATGATTAACAGTTCTTGCTTTATTAGAAGTTATAAAATACATGTAATTAATCAGGTTCTGAAATAGTACTTTTTATGGAATTAATAATATTTTATGAAAACCTACAAGTTAAAAATGTTGCTTTTAAATATCTAAATCATCATCTGGATCATCTTCATCCAAATCATCAGCTTCATCAGGCTGGTAGAAAATCTTCCCAACACTACCTGATGATAATGATACAGCTTCTCTATAAGGAAAAAATTATACTATTTCTGTAAAATTATCACTTTTTTTTCTGTTTAGCAATACAGCTCAATTTGTCTAACCTTCTCTGCTTTTAAAGAATTTTCTGTAGTTTGTAACAATATGTTGATTAAAACTAAATCAAAAGTTAGATAAAGTTAGTATACTGGTGAATGACATAGCCTATACTTAGGCTGCTTCTTGCATTTATTTCATTTCTGTTTAACAACTTTACTCTCAGATTATTTCAATGCAAACTTCACAGTAGCCAACAGTTGATGATCGTATCAAAAATTTAGATTTTTTTGTATAGTTTTAAAATTCTTCAAATACACAAATTAGTACTTCTATACTTATAATTAAATTTTCAAATAACAATATTATGAAGAACAAACTAAATCTTTCACAAATTCTTATCTAAATATTATGGATATTTTATGTTTGCCAAGGCAGAAACCTGAAGATCATGATTACACCACAAACATACCAACTTGTATAACTTATACTAAGCCACAAAACATCACAGTTGAAATTTACCCTTCGGAACAAAATAAAATGCTATTATAAACAGAACTCTCTCATTTGGAATAAAAGAGCATTTAAATGAGTGTGTGTGTAACTGAAAACTGCACAAAAGCCATAAGCCACTGGGTGACAATGCTCAACAGTGACCTAGATAAGTAGATTTAAGCTGGAACTACTTCTCAGCTGGTATGAAATTTTCTACCTATCTATGGGTTAATTTCTGAAATATTTATGCCAGAACTCAGCATACATGTAAGATGAGTACACGAATGCCTTTTCCCCAATTTTTATAGTTGTTTTATAAGAGTAAATATTGTAAAGAAATGTGTTACAATGTTGTACTTAATACTTAAAACATTTACAAAACATTTTTGACTAGTGTTTAGCACCAACTCAAAAATAATTTACCATACTGCAAGTCCCCCTTTCCAACCTAATATAAGCTAATATGATTTCATACTACTGTGTTATACTTGCAAAATAAAAATGTAACATAACTTTTATTTAGGCCTCATAAGTAGCAGTGTGCAGTTGAATATTCTCTTCTTACTGAAAATTTATATAAAACCAATGAAGAAAATTTTGATTTCAATTGTTTTCAGTATTATTGTGATATAATATCACATGAATTACCAATCAACATCCCCCCCCCAGTGGCACAGCGGTATGTCTGTGGACTTACAACGCTAGAAACTGGGTTTCGATACCCGTGGTGGGCAGAGCACAGATAGCCCTTTGTGTAGCTTTGTGCTTAATTACAAACAAACAAACCAATCAACAATTTTTTTTTGTAGGCTGCTCCTACATGAAGTTTTTTCTTTTATCTTAATATGGTTTTGAGAAAAATTGTTTCTGTGGATTATTCTGAAAATTTAAATATCTACATCAACAGGAACACAATACACAGTTTATTTTCTAGCACATTTTGCTATTTTCTTAGGAACAAAAAATAACTTGTTTTAAAATATTCTAATTTAACTCCATTAAAATCAGTACAAAATAAGTTCATTAGTAAACCTTTTCTTCATGTGATTTCAGAAAACAATGTCAAGCATTCAGATTAAAGGGTTATAAGATAGCTTTCAATCCTCAAAACAAAACAGTTAGCCAGTTGAAAACACTCAAAGATCCAAAAAAGATTCAAGACCAAGATGGTACTTATCAAACCATTTGTAGTTGAGTAAAACGTGCACATGATAAACAAGAAGGAAATTAAAAACAAGAATGAAAGAACACCAGTATGATATAACATAAGGCAACTACATATCCTTAACTATAGCTGAATATTTCAGTAATAGTGATGGTAATTATGATTAGAAAAATGTGAAAATCTTAAGAACTGCATAAACAAACAGAAATGAACTTAAGAAAAAGTATTTTCATAATAAAAAAACAGATCTATATATATAAAGATAGAGATAATAGACCAATGAATGTGTCTTATTGGAATAATTGTTTCTCTTAAGTGTCACCTTGTTTACTGTTTACTACTGTATTTACCAACCTTTCTCCCCTTGTCTCCTGACCTTGTTTTAAAAATGAACTTACCCATTAACTGTTATTTCTGTGGGCACCCATGGTTACCGTGATCAGGGCTGGCAACTATTTTCAGTAGGGGGGGAACACATTTGTGTTAAGCTTTTACAGAAGTTTACAGTTTCAGCAAAATTACTAAAAATATTTACTTTAACTACGATGTTAAGTTTACATCATAATAAGTGCAATTTTTGGTGAAATGTGGGGGGGGGGGCAAATGCCCCCCTCTTACTCCTTCCTGCGGGCACCTATGATGGTAAGTGTGTTACCAAAATTAGTCAGCTGGAATATCTAATAAAAATATTATATCTTTCATTGTGCTAAAAATATCATCATTGTTTTTTTATTCTTAATAAAAAAAACATTATGTTTTCTTACTAGTTACTTTTTTTGTTAGTATTGAGAAAGTAAATTAAATCCTTTATCATATAATGCTTTTTGAAATATTTAAATGGATAAAAAACATATTGACAATAACAACAAAGAATGTAACCAAAAACTGTAGCATTAGAAGAGTCAGAAAATAAGTCAACTGCTTTTCAAAATTACAGTTGTAGATCTGGGGTCTGCTATACATGCTACATTATGATCCAGTGTTTAATTTCTGCCAGATCTCTTTGGATCTAAGATGTGTAATTTTTTTAGGATTTTTTTTTTAAATCTAAAGGTGGAAACACTAGAACTAAATTTAAGATTGTCTCAGTTGAAAATCAAGCATTCAACTACTTCACTCCCCTCCAGCCCCATCCAAAATTGTATGTTTAGTGATATTTATTTCACAACATGCAAATTCACCCTCCATTTATGCCTGTCAAGAAGGATCTGGTCCCTTTTTTTTTCTTCCAGAAATTACTCATTGCTATAATTGCAGTATGTAAAAAGGAGCACATATTACAATTATTACAAAATAAATTTTATTAAACAAGAACAAACTATCTGGAACACTGTTATTAATTTAATCAATTTGTCATAATCTTCTTTAAATGGTAAAACTGGAATAATTCTCTTATACAGTTCATCCAAATGAAGTAAACTAGCAATGTCTGATACTTGTTTCTTATAACAAAGATATTAATAGTGAAATAAGAGGAAAATCAGTCTTGCATGTCTGTGCCTTTCAATTTCTATTTCTAAATAATGATCTCTAATTCTAACCTTTGCTATTGCAAATCTTTTATATTTACACATAATAAACGGATCATGAATACATTAGATATATTTAATTTGAAAACAAATTATTTACCTATCTGCCTAAAGAAAACGTTAAATAAGATTCAAAATACTTTAATTCCCTATTACCTTGTATAAGGCAATATTAACTGATCTCTGGCTTTCTTCTCATCATCTTTCAAAGTCAGGTTGAACGTCAGGTTAGCTGCTGGATCTGGAGCCTATAAAACATTGTCCAACAGTTTCACTAAGTTACTAGATGTAAACAAGTTATGAAATGTAAAATCAGGATACATTTTAATTATTTTTAACTCAACAGAAAATCCTTAGCCAAATGCATTTAGAAATACTTCTAGCACAGTTGGTATCACCTTATCTGTTTATTATAATTAATATACTGTAAGTTATCTTATGAATTACAGATCTTAAGAAATAATGTTTTTATATGTAGAAATTATACAGTAAGGAGCACTGTACGGAAATTTCCAGCAGTTTTTATATTTAATTCCTTTAAGTACACATCTATTCACACCTAAAAAGCTTTTCATGTACATACAGAAATTGATACTTTCCCAGATTAAACTATGTTTCTCAAAATAATATTTGTTTCTCAGCTAGGATTTATATCTAATAACATTAAGCATTAATAATTTTCAACATCAATGCTAATAACACAACATAAACATATGTAGTTGAAGAATGATAATTTGCATAGTATAACTAATAGCAGTAACCTAAAACTTTTTAATTACAAACAAAATCTATGATGAAAATATATTTCTACATGTAGTTAACATACCTATAATTTTTAGCCTAACTTATCAATAAAATAGAAGAAATGTTTATCTTTCCCCATGAAATTCTTACTTAACCTTTTGGCATGAGTAAGAAATAGCTACATACATAAAATACCTTTATATAATTTGTAACCCTGCTACTTGATAAATTTTAAAATCTTTACTTGAATTTAAGAAATGTTAACATTTTCCTAGACTGTAAACATATTTCCAACAAATACTTACCTCTTCTGCCATAATAGCTTTCCTTGATTTTTGCTACCCTCTATATGTGCAATTTTCGCTCACCACTAGCCCACAATCGTCACTTCAATACAGTCCAGACCCACATACAAATCAACGTAACATAATGGTCAACCCTTAATCACAGCCTTTTTGGCTCGGTCCCAAACAATTCCTTCTATTTTATGTTTGTAAAACATCCACTACTATGGGCACTTGTATTGAGGTCAACTAGGTTTGTGGTCACCTGTTTCCCAGTCCCAAGTGGTCTCTTTGAACTCAGTATTACAGCCACCCAGGCCAGCTCTCACCTGCTGCTGCCCAATTGAGACCTGTCAATCATAGTGAAGCCACTATCGTACATTGACTGATAGTGGCCACATCTTGTAGGTGTAACAAACCAGGTGATGATTGATGTTTCCTATTAATGGCACACTAATCCTACCTGATGCTCCACACCTCATGCTGCACTGATGATCTCACATACACGATCAAACAAACAGTATGTTTTCACACTCCTTTAAACTTTTAGTTCGGTATCTTTTTGGTCTTCTTGTGAACAAAAGATTTGTTCAAAGGGGTAAATTCACAGATATATATTTCAAGTTTTGTCACCAGTTACCTTCATTTTGCAATAAATAGAGCTCTGCTTTCTCAGCCAAATCAATTGTTTCTGTTCTATTGATGGAAATGTCAGAAAGTTGTTGTTTCATGATTTGAGTATCATTACTGCCAGGTGTCACTATATGTGCACATAAACATCAGCACCATACCTTGGCCTCTGATACTGTGTGGTGCAAGGAAAAGCCATGAAACTCATCGTCATCCTAAATTTTGCATGTATCTAATAATCAAAGATACAGTATAGAATTTTATCTTTTAGACAAGAAATGCAAAAATAGGTATGTAAAGATGCTATTACAACATTCTGTATCAAACAGAAACATAGAAAGGTGAGTATTATGGGTATGTACTGTCCCTTTGAGGCCTCACTCTGATCCCAGAGTTGACTCCATACAGTGACACCCGGTAATACGCCCATTAATTGCTTAGACCAACAGCTGACTGGATAAACAGGGCTGGACTGTAATAGACAAAAAAAAGATACACTGACAGTGAGGAGGATGGGTTGGAAGTGTGAGTGGAAGAAAATATCTATTGGAAATACATTTTCAGTGTAGGAAAATGTTAATTTCCAATACGATACCTTACCTCTTCTCAATATTAGCTAGAATCTCACATTAAAAAGGTGGAAGGACTGGTAAAAAAGTTATCTTTATGAGCATTCTTTGGAAGGTACCCGAACAGGATCCATGGAGTGAGATATCCTAATCTACCAGGTATACTTTTGATCTTTATAAAGATAGCGTGTCACTAAATTGTCCAATCAGTAATAGGATGCACCAGATGGTGTAGAATGGTTAGGGTGCATCAAACCATATTAAGTGTGTCAACTCCAGTTCAAAACCGGATGGCATCGGATATTTGTTTATCAGTCCACAGTATGAGGAGGGTACCAACCATCTTTGCCTCAAACCCAGGAAGCAGAATGGAAAAACAGCTTCTGTTCCAACAACCCAGGCAGGGCATGTGTACAAACCCAGTACACAACCAACACCATGCTACCTGTGAACTCGACATCTGGATGAAGGTAGGAAGTGGGAATGCAAACATGGCAGGTTAAAACCAGGAGTAATTAGAAATTTTTTGTTTGGTCTGCAGTAGGAGAAGGGCCCCTAACAACTATATGTGTGAGGACTTATGTTGGCTGGTCCTACACTGATCCAATCCCAGAATGCACGGGAACCAATATCCAGGCAGTGGTAGGATGGGGGAAAACCAGCCATAGGGGTGGATTCATTCAGTCCAAAATCAGGTAGCATCTGGAATTCGTCTTCTGGTCTGCAGTATGAGGAGAGTACTCCCCATCTACACAGACAGAACACCACTGCCCTACTCTCGAATGAGGGGAAATGCTCACACTTAGGACGAAGCCCCTATGGTCCACCATCCCAGCAGCTAGGAACTGGTAAGTGACAAGAACTCCCTTATTCCACTAGAAGAAGGAGAACAATGCAGTGGATAGTCTGGAGGAATGCAATGGGTGACCATGAAAACCCTATATTGAAAAGCAGACTAGTCCCAGTTTATTCAACTAGGACTGAAGGGATGGGCAATGATCTTAACAATGCTTTATCAATGATAGTCCACAAGATGGTAAGGTCTGGTACAGGTCTTATTTATGAAGCAAGATACCTCGAGGAACACTCCATCTCATCAGTGAGCATTAAAGACCTGTAAAGTCATATGGTGCACATTCAAAGTTGAGTATACCCAGACAGGCACCACTTGCCACTGAGCAGAATTCAGAAATGTAGAAATAGGCCACTGTAAAGTTAAGATATATAAAAATAGAAGTTACCCATTCAGAGCCGGTAAGGCATATGTAGGGTGGTAACAGGAGGAAGCTGATATCTGGAAGAAGAAGAGATGGCCAGAAGATGAAGAAAATGTGGGACAAAAGTAAGGGGGCAAGTTTACATGCCAGTTTGCACAAACACCTCCAATAGATGACAGAAATAAAGAGCCAGAGAGAGAGTATAGTGAGGAGACTTGAAAGAGTCGAGGTGTACCTGCATCCAATGAAGCATAGGCTGAGTGGATGAGGTGCTGCAGCCATCCCTTAAGAGTAATAGGAAAAATCTCTAAGGCAGATGAGGAATTCCAAAGAATAAATAGATGAGAATATGAACCATGAAAAGGAGCAGAGTGGGCCAAAGAACAATGAACCACTTGGATGTGACAGAGAAAACGATTTAGAACAGAATCAGAAAACTATTTAGAAAAAGAAGGGAAAAAAATGGGAAGCAGCAATATTTCCTTCAACCACAGGAAAAAAACTAAGAATTAAGACCTAAGTGAAATATGGTACAAGGAGTAAGAAACTAAAGGGTCAAAGAGAGGAAGGGTAAGGGCATGGAGAACAATATTCAGGTCCAAATCAGGAAGTACAAAGGTGGCAAAATGAACAAAAAATAACGAAAATACAGGAGAGAACACATGATGATAATAAGAAAACCCAAACGTATTAGGCAGAGCTGCCCAATAACCAGCCATAATGGAAAGTGATAAACTTTGTTTGAACAGCCAACAATATAATTCGGAAAAATGGGGGATAGAAGGAAGGGAATGTTAGAAAATATAAAACAAGGACCAACTATGAATTGTGCACCCGTGTTGTGGATAGACAAGGAGAGAGGAAGAACAAATCGAACAAGAAAGAAGAAAGGCTATATGTAAAGAGAGCATGGAATGTCTTGCAAGGGATCTGACAAAACTTGCACATAAAATTGTGAAGTTGGAGTGATGATATTGCTGGATGGGAGAGGGAAGAGTGAGGTTCAAGGAGTAGAAAGAGCATCAGAGGTTGAGGAAGAGAAGGAGAGAACAGGAAAAGGTGCAATAGAGGAAATCATGACTGAGCTGGCCAGTAAGGAGTTATTAGGAGGACTCATCATGGACTGTCCATAACGAGAGAAACATGAGGGAAAAGATGAAGAAGAGGAAAGGCATGGAGAAAAAAATTAAACCAGTCCTAACAGGATGTGTCTCCAGCTAAAGCTGAAGGAAAAGGAACATGGGACCAGAAAAGGGGAAGTAGAGTGTTGAGAAGGGTGCAAAAACAACAAGAAGAAGAGTATCCCAATGAGAGGACAGCAACTTTAACACCAGAGGAATGAGGGGCCAATCTGTTGGTGGTATCTTGGTGGGCCTAGAGAGATGATCCACAACAAGACTCAGAGCATCTGGAATAGGACAAGCTATTACACATACCTGTATATAATAGACCCAGAAAAATAGGTTGATAGTGTCAAAAGAGGATAGAGAGATGAACAGTCCACCTGGTGATTGATAAAGGAGACAATGCAGAGTTGACTAGATGTATCACCAAGAGACACTTATGAACCATTCTAAAAAAGAATCTAAAGATCAATGTACCTCCACAAGTTCTAAGAGATGGATTTGAAAGGGCGATATGTTGTGGTACTATGCAAGCCCACTCTCAAAAAAGTGAGATAACCATCCACATAGTGAGGGAAGGAGAAGATATATATCACTCCATCTCCTTCACAAAAAAAAAAAAAAAGGAGTATAAGGCTAGGCCCTGCAGGCATATAAATGAAAAACACCCAAATGAATGAGAATAAAACAGGTGTGAGATGTGATTCATCCAAGATGAACTAACCAATTCAGATGTGCTGGCTTGTAGGGACAGAGCCAAATGAGAAAAGAAGCATCCAAGATGTCCACCTTCATCATCACAAGATTTGAGGTGTAAGACCACTGCAGGGTGAAAAATTCCCCACATGAAAGTGAGGGAAGACAAGAAACTGACTGAGATGTGAAAGATGTAATACTCGACACCTATCTACAGATTCCCTGAGAACCACAAAAAGGCAGGAAGAAAAACCTGGAAAAAGAATGAAAAACCCATCCAATAGCAATTGTAGTCATTAGGACCAACCCTGCCAAGAACCAATGTTGGCAAGAAACAAGATCCCTGAGAGGATAAAAATAATCGGAACAGGAAACACTGGAAGAGGAGAGAAAAAGACGAGGTGGGGAATGCTTTCTGATAGAAATCTTAATATTCAACAATTGGCAGCAAACAGAGGGCAGATGTCCATAAACCAAATGAAACAGGCCCTACAAACCCTGAGCCTTTAGGACAGTCACTGCCAAGACTGACAACACCAAAATCTGTGAGCAGTGGAAGAACAGATGGAAAGTGGTGAGAGAGAGAAAGAGAAATGGAAGCAGTAGGACAGAAGACAGAGAGAGGCAACGAATGAGCAGTAATGAGAGATGGTAAGCCAGTGAGGATAGGGCATAACACTAGCATGTGGTCCCAACATATGACACCAGAGATACAAGTATACCAGTGAATTTATACAGGTAGATGAAAGGAACTAGAAGAAGGCATATGAGATATAAGGGTAGGAAAAGCAATTGAGAAACAAGGAAATCATGCCCCAACCAGCTCTAGCAAAAAATCAAACAAATAAGATGTGATATTGCTGAGGAATATAAACACTCTACTCTAGAAAAGATAAGTAAATGATCATCCATCGAAAACCCCACAGTGGATTGGTGGATTACCATAGAAAGAAAGTTAAAGAAGGAACAATAACAGAAAAGGGTAATGTGTGTAAGATGAAGGGAGGAAAACGTAAGCCTAAGAAGGATGAACAAAAGACAAAGAATACAACCCCCAGAGTTTAGAAGTCAAAGAAAAGCAATACAGCATAGTCATGTCTAGTCATATGAGGTAACAAGAGAAGGAGGATGGAGCATATATGCCCCAAAATAATGGTAAAAATAAATGAATATGTAAAAAACATACCCGAGAAACCTAGTCATGAAATCACAAAAAAAAGCCGAGGAAGAACCAAGACAATGTCACGAACAAGAAACATTGGTGGAGGTATGTCAGGGACAAAAAAAGATTCAGGCTGTATGAGAAACTCCACCCTCCACTACAAAAAACCATCACCTCTCCCAACAGACAATGCTGGTGTAGTTGATAGGCTAGCATGAACAAAGTCATGTTGTTTTATACCAGGTAAAATGGAAGTTACTGACACTTACGAAATAATGTCTTTGTAGACACTTCCATTGAAAAATGCCTATATCTGAAAAGTTCAGAAGCAAAAAAAAAAATACATATCATTACACAAGAGTGCGAAATTGAGAAGTGATGATTGTGATCTGCAGTATAGAGGGAGTCAGCTGTGTTAGGAGGGTGTGTCACACTCCTATTGGTGGAGGGTTGTCATATGCTCATTTGCATACTACAATGCAGCTATACTCACACTAAACACATGATGTTAGTGTGAGCCTCAGGGCCAGTGGCAAGCAAAAATTGAGCACATAGAGGGCAGCTCAAATCAATGAAAGCTATTATGTGAAAGGAGGTATCATATTGAAAACTATAATCCATCTGTTAAACAAACTTTTATAAAAGTTTACAAGTTACCAAACATATGGGTATCAAATTACTGTATACAAAAGAGAAAAAAAAACAACTATCTTTTCATGTAAATAAAAAGTTCTCAGTTTTAATATTTTATTACTCATTTGCAGGGAGAAGAATTTTAAGTATATAGATACCAAATGTCACAATAAGCGGATCCTTGGTTTAAAAAATTATAATTCTTTTGATGCAAATATGCTAGAAGTTCCTGACTAACCAAAATGATAGCTTCCAAACTTCCATATGAGAGATATGTTACTGGTTTTAGAGGTAAACAGTTAATCATACATATAACAGGAAATACAGGTTATAATCCAGTTTCATAATCTAAGGGTACAGATCTAACCATATACACTAACAAGAGGTTCTTTAGTATTTAAAAAGCAAAATTCACTCAATGTTCATAAATAACATTCCACTTACACTAATGTTAAGCTTTTAATTAGAGAAAAAAAAAGTTCCGGCATTTATAAATATAAACAACTCTTCAACTAGACAAAAAATATCCTGTTACTTCTGAGTAGTGACAGACTGTCGTTTTGGTAGGAAAATTAGAGAAGAGATAGGTTCTTGAATGGACAGAAAAATTAAAATTTTAACATATTCTATAAGCACTATGTTTATAGGTGGATACAGAAGAATGTTATTAAACACTAGATAAACACTGTTTTTGGCTTCAAGTAAAAAAAAAAATTCTAACTAATCTGAGGAATGATGAAGTATTGACAAATCAAAGTCTTTTCTTCGTTAAAAAGAAAAGAAAGGTATGAAAATACATGATGATGATGGAATTTGTTGGATAAAAACAAAAATCATGCTAACATGTCCAATGAAATGTTGATTCCTGATTAGAAATGGGAATAAAGTATCAACATACCTGATGGATAATGGGTTCAAGTCTAACCACTTTCTTGGGTAAATGAGTTTCTATATTCTTTATATCATGGCTATCTGTGATATAAAATTGTTCTTGCTGAAGTAATACATGAAAAAAAATGGACAAAAATGTTAGTAAAAATAAAAGCAAAAATTAAACCACATTTATTATTTCTGATCAAACTATAAGCTACCAAATACAATCTTTTATTTTTATTTAAGAAACTGCCAAGAAATAACTTCTATTTCCTATACAATTTAGATGTAAGTACATTAAAAAAAACTGTTGTGACAGTACAGCCCTGTATGAAAATGGGTCTATCTATCCTCACTGGCTTTGCATGTGAATTCTATGTTGCACTACTATGCAGCATCTATATTTAAATGTTAGCCACAGCTAGCAAGTTGAGTCAAGATCCATGAAAAAAGGAGCTCATGAATTTTCAAAGAGAAATACTTATTGAATGCAGCATTGGTGGTATTAGTATCTAAGATATTTTACCCTACCTGCTTACTAATGGTAATGTGCTAAAGAAATGAAAGATCACTAGAATATGAGCCCAACCAGTCAGAATGAATCATATCCAAATCCATGAGAATTCTGAAATTATGAAATGAAATTGCACATCTTAAAATAAGGTTCTTCTTCAAGAACTACAGACTAGCACACCAACAGTGTGAAGGAAACTATATATTACCGGATATCATGGATGGGCTATAACCCAAAAGCTACTCACCACAACAGTAAATGAAAGGCATCAGACCTTGTGTACATAGTATGTTGACATTATGGTAAAGAAAAAACATTATGTGAGAAAATGATATTATGCTAATCATTGCTTGCATTAAGAGATAAATCTGTGTTAGACTATAATCTGGAGAACACCATGTTTTCCTAACTTTAAATAATGATTAGGATACCATCATGGTTACAGCTGGGCAACTAGTACATTTTGATAATCAATTACTCTCACAAGACTATTCTTCCTGTTTTCAGTTTGTATTTTTTAAACACATTTTTGAACTTCCCTTTATTTGTAATCAGTAGGAATCTTCAGAATTAAGTTACTTTTTTTTTACTCCTAAACTGATGTAGTTGAAAATTTATCATTATGCAGCATAGTATGAAATTTATAACAATACAATTAATAATATTGCATGGGTTCTCTCTATACATTTTCGAAAAAGAAACCAGCCGAGTTAGTAGCACAGTAAAGCCTACTAAAAAGTTTATGACAGCATCTCAAATCAGTACTTTGATGTGAGATCTGTTACCCCAGACCAGTGTAGTAGTACAAGTAAAAAAGGCAACCAGAGCACTCACATCACAGTAACCAATTACTTGAAAGTTTTGGTTCTTGTTTTGGAAATGCCCAATGAGTTACAGAAATTAGCCAATAAAGTATCAGAACTACTTGCAGGTAGTCAGGAATACTATTTGGAAAATCAAAAGGATACAAAGAAATACAGTATAAAAACTCGAGTCAACATGAATATAAAGATTTCCAACCTCCAGAGGTATACCAGTCCAACTCTGTTGTAAGTGTAGAATTGCTATCTCTCTTGTTCAATTAATGTAGTTTACTAAAGGAAGTTAATGCTTATAATAGATAGAAATACTCTATATGTATTGGTTAATAGTGTTTAACTGAAAAGTGAAAATTATAATTGTAAGAAACTAACGGTTTATTAAATGTTTAACTATTGATGTTAAAAGTATATAATATGTGGAAAGACCTAATAAATGTTGATGTATTTTGTTCAATGTCAGTCTTGGAATCCATTTCTTTATTCTAACTGTAAATTATCTCGAGTTAGCAACTTGTGAGCTCCACTTGCCACTATAATTCTCAACTAACTAAATTTGGTGTAATTGGCAGTACAGTCAAAGCTCCAACGACTAGCCCTAAGGGCACTGCCCATTATAACAACATGTGCCACTTCACTTGTAGAGAAGAAAAAGATTATCATGGGTATAAAATTAGTCATCATTTTCTACACCACAATATTCTTGTGCAAAGTGAGCCAAAAATGTATTATTTTGAATTAGCAAATATTGGTTTGAAATTTATTTTCTTAAATCGTGATAATGGTTGATTAAACCAAACAAATTTGAATTAATCAAAATAATTACGGGAAACCACAATAGTAGTATTCAATTACGTGGATAGTTTGAATGATAGGAAACTCTAATTTTGATTAGTCAATTATTTTCATTATATTAATCAATTTAATCATAATTTTGGTTGACCAATAACTTTACGTGACACTCACTAATCATAGGTAATTGATTATGTTGGTTAATCAAGATAATTGCCCAGCTCCAATCATGGTATCAACATGCTTTAACAGGAAATAGATAAGGGAGCCATATATGACTTGTCATATCTTAAAATTCATGAACATCCTGCACCAATGAAAAATTTATGATGGAAGAACCATACTTCTTTCATCATTATAATACACCATGCCAAGGCACATGCCATGTCCAGCAATGGTTTGAGGCAAATAACACCCAGAATCTCCTTTGTCAACCTTCATCAAGTCCAAGTACTGACTGAGAGACAGAAGGGATACTTTCAAATATCACTACACTAGGTGCTGCTTTGCAAGAGTAACGGCAGTCTATTTTACTAAATGTGTACTAGCAGTTGGTGATACGTGTTAGTAAGAAGCTAAGCTGTGACTAATATCAAAATGTACCAACTCCTTATTAAAACAGAGTACTAGTGACACTGTCTGTTATGAACAAAACTGTGTAAAGCAATTCTATCTTTGAACTGCCAGATTTTTACCAAAATAATCAAGCTGTTATTTTCGTTTTCATATCTTTCAAGTCTTTCCTACATAAATATGTTCCTTCTATGACTATTTACATGGGGACTGTTTTATTAATGCACTAACATTCTAAAGATTAAAATAACTTATTTAATGGAAATAACTTATCTCTAAATAGCAACTTTTATGCTCTAATAAAATAATCCTAGATGGCCTACTTTTATGAAGACAAAGTCTTTTCCAGAGCCCTTGCACTCCATATAGCCAGGAACTTAGCTACTGTTTAAGTGATCTATTATGGCTGTCTTCATCCTTCATAACAATTAATAGTAAGCAAAAAGACAGATGTAAATTAAACAATGCTTATGCATAAAATATGCACAATGATGTGCTAAATGCACCAAAATTAATCTGCATGTGATTTTTTATTGCTAATAGTATTTTTTTTTTTCACCTAGAACTGTGTAAGGATGTAGTTTTTAGGAAAGACTCTACAGAACCTAAGAACAAAATTATAAATTACCTCTCTAAGAACTTTTCCCGTTGGTTTCTTGTAAAGCGTATGACAAATCATCACAGAACTTCCTACCTCAGAAGCATGTACTTGTATTATTGCTGAAGCAAGGTGTTCAAGAGCTGTTACAGTTCCACTGTCATGAACATCCTTATGTAACAGAGCTACAACCTGCTTAACTAAAAAAATGTTTTTATTTTGTTGAAATAATATTTTTTATACAAGGAGAGTCTAAAATTCAACTACAATAAAATTTTATTTTCAAGAAATTATTAACAGAACACTTTTTACAATACAGGATTATTACAGGAACTATAATATAAATATATCAATAAAACATGAATTACAAAATATCTTTACTCTTTGTGTAATAAAATCCTTCAACAAAAATACTCATCAATAACTTTTTTTTTCTCGTGTAATCAGTGATACATTTTTCAAAGAATGTTTCTTTTTGTATTAGCATGGTTATGTCATTTTGTCATTGCTACTGAGGTGAATGTATATTGTAGTGAGCTTTAGACCTTTCTCTTTCTAGATAACCCTCATATAACTTCGTAATTCCCTTAAATATGTTTAAGAAAACTTATGAACCTAGTTTATGTGTTTGTTTTTAAACCGTAAGTCATTGTTGATTATTTCACTTATAGTTTTGTTAATATACATCAAACTTGTAATTGAATCTTTTGAATTGTTTTCCTTCTCAAAGCATTCTATTTGGTGCAAAACAGACAATATTTATTTATTTTTTACACTGCTACACAGAACTTTTAATTCAACCCACTTCAAAATGTTATTGTTTTCCTTCACATGAGACATAAAAAAAATGATTTTTCAATTTCTGATGATTGAAATTAAAAACTTTCTGAAAGAACAAAAACAGTATCTTTTTCCAATACAGAAAGTGACTGCAAACCACACTGGGGGAACCGCACTACATCCAGAACAGGTATGCTCTTCACCCAGAATTTAATTCATGTACTGTGGGAGGAATTTTATCATCACCAGATAGCTGATGTTCCACTGTTTGGGGGTTGGAATTATAGCGCCATGGTCCCTATATCCCACGTTGGCTAGGGCAATTGATCCACAATGTATATATATATGAGTGGATCCCAACCTGCGGCCACAGAGTGATGCGTTTCGAGCCACTGAAATCACGACGAGAAAGCAAGCAACATCAAACTGCACAAATCTTCTCAACCTGAAGAAGTCCGAAAGGCAATACCCCAGGCTCGGAATGACAGAATCTTGTATGCCATACTCAATCTGAGGAAACGGAACTCATCCAGTGTGGAATTATGAACACCCATCTTCACTCCCCAACCGAGTGGAAAGGTAAATTCTTCTTGTCTCCAGAATTATGGGGAGGATGTGGAACAAATTGTGCTCAACCAAGAACCCAGGATGGGACCACTCAGTGTTTGGAATTATAAGGAGACAATGAAGCCTCTTCCAGGAACAATGTACTGAACCAATATTGATAAAAATAGGAGGGTCCCCAACCTTGCATTCTTCTCCAAGAGTGTAGGAAATTCACTCTAACATTCTGGAGTAAAAGCCTCTATCCACCACTCCAGTGACTGGAAACCGAGTGTGGTAAGGACTTCCTAGCTCTACTAGTAAAATCTGGGGGTAATGATCATTGTGGAGTCCTGAGGAACAGTGCTCTGGAAATAATGCAATGGGCGAACCAAGATCCCTAAATTTTTAAAAGCAAACTGCCCCCAATTTATTCAATACAAAGATCAGCAGGGATGGGCAGGATCCCCTTATGATTTACTCATGATAGTCCATGAATGGCATTTCAGCATAGTACAGCAATACCACCCAGTCAACCTCTAGGTGGACTTATGGAACACCTCCTTTCTACAGAGCCTGTTGCAACCTAAATAAAGTATATTGAATTAATGGTTGCTAGTGCAGAATTGGTTTGATAAAAGCACACCAGCCTAGGAAACACTCACCACAGAGTGGGATCCTGTGAAAACGAGGTAATGGACTCTGAAAGGTAAAGAAGATACAAGCGTAAAAATGAAAATACCCCATCTATATAATTAGGCAGAAGTGATTAAGACAGCTATAGGGGGTAGTTGAAAACCCTCAGATGAAGCTACTGCCAAACCATGCAAATAATGTGAGATAAAAGTATTGGGGGAGGTCCACATACCAGCCCACACAATGTCCTCCAGTGGGCATTTCAACCGGGTTGCTAAGGATGAATCTAATTAGACGTGACATGCAGAAGTTTCCTCGCCTTCAAAGAGAGCCCAGAATAAGCAATATAGATCAATTTCATACCCACCTCGTCAATGTAACCGGGGATAAATCCTGGGAAACTGAATAATCCAATGAATAAAAAGTTGTTGTCTGACATCTCAAAGCATAAAATTGGTGAAAAGAATTTATTCCATTCCCTGGCTGCCAGTGTCTTAGGGAAAGAATAACTGGTCTGAGGATGTAGGTAGAATGATAAAGTGTCCCATGCACAGTCAGCTCAAATCACTCCTACTGGCAACATCTGTAGGTCAGCAGCAACGAAATATAAACCTTTAGGGAAAGTTGATACATGACACATGAGGCTTAGGTCTCAAATGGGTGTTGAGAAAGGGCATGTAATGCCACCTTAATATACCAGTAAGGTAGCTGGAATGTTCGTGACAAAGGACCCAAATGACTTGAGGGAGCTGGAGAGTATTGGGGACTCGATGAATTTTTGTCTCTAGTATCACATGGTAGTCAATAAGGCTGCCTTATACAGGGCGATTGTGGAAGATGCAAAACCCTTGCCAAAGAGCCAGTCAAAAAATGAGTTATGGTTCGCACTTCTGATCGAAGTGAGTGCAACTTCTCAATACACCATTGTTGATACATGTGCCATTTTCATTGATAAATGTCCATTCATGAACAAAGCAAAGACTGGGACAGATACATGGAAACCTTATAAATTAAACCTCGATGCTGTGCACAGAACTGCATAACCTTCATGCCTGAAGCTTGAGCTTCTGGATAGCCAGGTGTATGATGTGAGATCATCGCTGCCTCCACAGAGATGGCCAAAGCAGAATAGGTAGACACTCCTGAAGGTACTGCATAAGCAGAAACCAAGGTGTACCTGCCAATCTGGTGCTATCAACAGGACCCGACAATGGGTTGGAACAAATCATAATTAGTACCTTGGGTAACATAACTAGCTTGCCATGTTCCATGGGTGATGACTTCAGTGGCAGATCAATTGTCTTGAGCCAAACAGATTCTTCCGATAGAATAAATGCTGCATCATGAGTTTTTCTGTTGGATTGGCTCACATTTTGAAATATTAATGAATGATTGATTGTTGGCCACTCACTGAAATACTCAACTACAGGCAATTTAGTCTCCAGTACATCACCATTGAGTTTGGGCATTGGATGCATTCCATCAGGATGGGATTGGGTTACAACTCTATGCCTTCCCTCCAATTCAAAGTTGGCCTTTTTTACTAGGATTGTGGATGTTCAAGTTCAATATCATCAGCTCCTATCTAAACATTGCCATAGTGGTGGTGTTCTGACACTATTGGAATTTTTTGTGCACAAGGGTCAGGTACTACAGTTGATGGTTCTTACCTTTGGATTAGCATTAGCACCATATGGGTTCTGCCAAATCATATGAACTTTTTCTCATTACCTCCATTCCCTAGCCCTGTGCACACACCATTCCATGGATGACTGGTTACTGCAAGCACCATCCCATCAATTGTCAGAATGTCACACCTGGATTCTACTTTCAGAAACAACCAAGGCAGCCTTCATTATCAGAGATGAGACATCTATTCTCACTCCAACACATCAGTCTGGGTATTTTTTCGTCACATTTATCAGTTGGGCTCAGCCAACTCTCATCTGGCTCCACACTATGGAACAGGAAACCCAACTCTTACTCACCTCTCCTTCTTCCACTACACGGATGATTCTTTCTTTTGTGGGATTGTGGGCATCACTCAAATTCCTCATGCCTTTGGGGCAAACACACAAGAGATCCCTTCAATGGTCTTTATGTGACCAAGAGATCATACACAATGATTCACTGATTTCCCCAGTTTCCTTAGTCAGAATCATGATCATTGATCTTGAGAGGTTGTTAAGTTGGAACACTACTATGATATGGATTCCTCTACTGCTACTTTGTCCAAAGCATCTCTTCAGGGATGGGGTGCATATACCAACAGTCATGAATTCCAGGGTCTATGCATGAACAAAGTGTTTTCATCCTTTTTCCCTATACAATGTTTTGGACCTTCTTGCTCTTCAATGGGCAATGCCTCGTGGTCTGGGCTTATTAAGGGGAAAATCGTTAGGCTTCACTCCCACATTTCCATGGTGATGTCATGCATTTCCCATCAAGGAAGCACTTGGTCCAGGGCTCTTTGTTTTCGAACCTTGGATCTCCTTTCTTGGAGTCACTCCTGTCATATCATCCTAGAGTCAGGAATGAGTCACTTGTGAACCTTGGAGAATCTACAAATTGATATAGATGAGAAAGATCGATGACAGGATACCAATCTACTGTCTTCTTGGGCCTAACAAATTGAAAGGAATAAAACCCTGGAAGAACTGGCACAACTCTCTCTCTACTCCCAGACCAACCAAACTTTAATACTGAATATATGTTTGGAAAACATCTTGGGGGAAAAGCTAGTTAAACAGTTCACAAATCCAGTAACAGATGACCATCCAGTGTCCTAATACAAGTATGCACACTGCATTTTGCCTATTGAATAGGTAAAGATTATTTTCTTTTGTGTTATGTATCATGTTCAGAGTCTCCATTTCGTAGCTTAAAACTCAGTAGTTAAATTCAGAAGTTATAATTTTGCTATGCTGAAAATGTATTACCGACAGGTACTTCCCTCTTCTCACAAGATTAGCTATTCTCGTCCAGTGCTGCCCTCTATATGCAATTTTTTTCTTTATGCATGCTACAAGCCTTCTACTCCCCCTCCTATTGGAATTGAATGATTCCAACATGACTCTCACATAAATCATCATGCATCACTTCACCAATACGAGTGTGACATATGTGATGCATGTGACTCCCTCTATATGCCTCTACCTAAATATCACTTTGAGGTTTGTCAGAAGACGTAAGCACGGGAGGAAGGGTGGGAAGTGTAAGCAGAGGGAAATACTTATCGGAA